AAAATAGTCAAGCCAGTGGCCCCACCCATCAAGGGAGTCCAGCCAGAGGCCCCACATAATCAAGAATCCTAGCCAGTGGCACTGCCAGATCACAGAGCTGACCCAGTGGATCTGCCCAATCACAGTTCAGACAAGTCCTGGATGACTTCAAAGTCCAAGCATTGGCCTTGTCCAACCAGAGATATTAGCAAAATTTCCCATCTCTCCATTATTCTACAAGCTAATATGGCTAGAACACCAGGTTGGGATGACTTTAAAGGTCTTTCTCTGTCGAACAAGGAGCCCTCATGAACTGTTGGTGAGATTGCAAATTGGTATAGCCACTATGGAAAACAGTTTGGAGGATCCTCAAAAATTAAAAATAGAACTATCTTATGACCCAGAAATTGCACTTCTGGGTATTCATCCAAAAAAATCCAAAGCACTACTTAGAAAAAATATATGCACCCTTATGTTCACTGCAGCACTATGTACATAGCCAAGATATGGAAGCAACTTAAGTGCCCATCAATAGATGATTGGATAAAGAAGATGCGGTACATATATAAATGGAATGTTACTCGGCCATTAAAAAAATAAAATCTGAGTGCCTTATAAGAGACTGCAGAGAGTTCCTTAGCTCTTTGCCAATGTGAGGATACAGTGAGAAGTATACCAGCTGAAGTGGGCCCTCACCTAATCACAGTGGCACCCTGATCTCGGACTAATAGCTTCCAGAATGTACAGAAATGGATAGCAAGAGCTTTGTCCTTAAGAAATAAATGTTTAAACACTAAAAATAGCTCATAGAATGTGAAGTCACTAAAAAGACATTGTAAACATGGGAAAATGAGAGCCTTGTGACTTGCTTTCTGTGATAAGAAAATTTCCAAAGGAGGTAAAAAAAAAAAAAAAGGCGTATGATAGAGGCTCTGTTCATCCCTCTGGTGACCAAATCAAAGTTGTAATGGAAACAAGAAGCAAGCATCAAGGAAAAGTCGCCCGGGATCTGGACGAACAAGCCATACATCTAAGGAGAAATCTAAGAAATCACCCTGCAACAGCAGAAGGCAGGATGGGCCGAGGACGCGGGGCTGCCAGGTTTGAGCAGCTGAGTCTGCAGCAGCGTCAGACTCCTCTTAAAGGGGCCGCACCTGAGGAGATTTTCATGGTGACGGACCTGCTTGCTCTGAGCACCAGTGCCAGTTCGGCTGCATGCAGGGGGCACCAGGGACTTACAGAGAGACATTGTCGGAGTGAGGACCAAGGCAAGACTCACTCTGCAAAAAAGAGCCGGCTGTATCCATTATTCCCTGTTGAGTCCTCTCTACTCCCAGCGCACAGACACAGCCTCACCATAGCTGAGATGTTATCAAACTGGATAACAGAGGTCACTCGTCCCAGAGGATTCCCTGAAACTCCACCTCCTCCAAATCGTGGCCCCACCCAAGCCACACCCAGGTGTACCCTCAGTGAGTCAGGTGCTCCTTGCTGAGCAGCGTCTGGACTCACACTGGAATCAGCTGGCCACAGTTTTTGGTGTGACCTTTTGAGGCAATTATAAACACAGCATCTGTAGATTGCTTGCTGAATCTTACAGCCCACCCCGGA